CTGGGAGGGTTGTGAATAGGATCTTGTTACAGACTTCATGCCAGAATAGTAGCTTGTGCAAAAGTCACACACAAAATTCTTGAACTAACCAGGTAAAAAAAATGGAAAACACTGATATTTGCCAACCTGTTTAAACAAATTAATGTGGGACTTTTTAATAGGGAAGATGCATATTGTTATTCCTTATTTTTCTCATACTGACTTCTTTTTTAATAGGGGCTTCCTGGTCCACAAGGTCCTATTGGGCCTCCTGGTGAAAAAGTAAGTTATAACATTAACTCCTTGTTTCATAGTGCAGCTAGTTCACAAATCATGTTTGTGTGGCTCGGGGGTTTGCTCAGTTTTAGGTAATGGTTACCTATGATCTTAAATGCATTACTCAAAACCACCAAATACATGAATGAACAATGTGGGTCTGATTCTTCTTTCATTTCTACTAGTGTAACTTCCACTCTGGACTTACTCTCTTGGTACTAGGTTCAGAATCTAGTCAAAACTATGAAGCAGTACCTAATGAAATACAGGGACCCAACTCCAGGGTTGTGAAAATGACTTTTATTTTAATTACTTTTATTCTTGGATCAGAATTAAGCCCCATGTGTTTATTCTTGTCCTTCTTTGGGTGGTTCTTTTGTAACATGTAATGATGTCAGCATCAAGGATGAAATTCATTTTAATTATTTCGTTTCTCCAGTTGAGCTCCCTAATTGATTCTGCTCGGTTTTCCTCCTCGTACACTGTTTAATATTCTCTTATTGTTCCAGAATCTTAGTATCAGGTCGGAGGGATGGAAAGGGAGTTTAGGAAATGGTACATACACTTTCTCCCTGCCTGTCTTCCCTTGGCTATTATTCTAGGAAGGTGACTGAATCCACAATATGCATTCTACAGTCTTTCACACAGGTATATCAGGACTTCCAGCTGTCAGAGATATGGGGGTGTAAGCAGGGGTAGATCCAGAGATGATGCAACGATACAGTCCCTGTTTTAGCTATGTTTCACCATAAACTCTCAGCATGGGATCAGCCCAGAGTCAAGAGAGTGAGCGCTACTGTGACTGCCTATCCACTTCTTTCTCCTGCTGCTGAATTCAGTGGGGAGAGGGAAGGAGGGGAAGGGCAAACAGCAGGGATATCCCCCCCTGTGCTCTGGAACTATTCCATCTAGACCCTGCCCTGATCAGCTGGTGAGTTCAGAGCTTACTATGAACTCCTGAGGGAAGCAGAGTTGAAAGGGTACCAAGTGCAGGCCCTTCTAAGAGGAGAGATGTTTTTTCTTCACTCCCAGGTGTCACAGGCACCCATGTGCAAAAGCCAGTTTGAGATCCTGAGACCACTCTTCCCTTCTCCATTGCTCCTTTCTGTATAATGCTTCCATATTTACCAAGGATTGAGGGTCATTTTAAAAACACCACATACATTCTGTGATTTTTCCTGAACTAGTGCTAATTAACTTACATAGAGACCATTCACCTGAAAGCTTTCCTGTGAACACACTTCCTTGGGTGCCTTGTTCACACGTCAGTGGCAAAAGAAACATTGGTAATTAAAGAATTAAGAGAAGGATTTCTCAACAAAATCTGTTCATATAGGCCAGGGGTTGGAAACCTTGTACCACTACTTGATAACCAGCTCCTGCTGGGGTCACAAATGTTTGCACCCTCTGGTGATCAGCAGGATCTGTGTAGAGAATAGATGGAAAAAGGCGAACAGTAGGACTCTGGGAACACTTTGTCTGCTGCTCTGGCCACACTGTCTCTTCATGGGCCGTATCTGGCTCTGCGGCATAGGTTGCTGACCTGATTGTAGACAGATTTCCCCTTCAAGATTCACTTCTAACTTTTTTCTTGGGGAAACCCAGCAAAATGGGGAAAAAATATCTTTTCATTTAAATGAACTCACTATGTTATAAATAGTATCTTTGAAAATGAGCTGTGAAATTTTAAAATATTAATAAAAATTCCTATCTTCTGACTCTGAAAGCTTCCCTATAGCCCATTCCTGTCATTAGTGTGTATTAAAACTTTTTTGCTGTCTAAATGTGCTGATATAGAAAAGGGTTCTTTACAATAGTGTATGTGTCAAAATTTTAAATGTCACGAATTTGTCATCTCTCAGGATCAGTGTTCCTAGTCATATACAGATTGTATCTTTAAAAAATCAGTCTTGCTTTGGTGTGATAGATTTAGGACAGTTAATATATTCTGAGTACACATGCTGAAGGCCTCACCCTGAAAACTAGCTAATGGGTAGCTCAGCTCTTACAATCAACCCAAGCAAAATCTATGCAATAAAAGCTGTACAAGTGTTTGAGGGATGTGAAATGGTAGCAATTTTATGACCTGAGCATGCTGGAACTGAAATATACTCAAAAGTAGCTTGAAATAGGAATACAGCCATATGAACAGTAGTGATTTTGTTGCTCTGCAGCTGTTTTAGTTGGTGAATGTGCCAATGACATGACACCAAAGAGAAACGGTTTCCAATTAAAGAAGGATTAGTTTATCATCATTCAGCTAATTTAAAACACACAGGACAATGCCTAAGATGCTGTTACTACTTTTAGTTTGCTCTCTTATTTTATAAATACATTCTTTATGAATTTTCATAATGCATGTATTATTACAGTCATTTGCAAGCCCAGACAAAATACTAGGTTTTATGACACTCACATCCCTTGTAAATAAACAGTTGTAATTTCTTCTGCTTCTCTTGGTTTTCACCAAGGCACGTATATTTTGAGACTGATTATTTTTTACATTTGTCTTTGTTTTGTTTTAAATATATTATATTGTTTCTAGTGTATGCTTTTGGGGTTTTTTTATTTCAAGGGCCATAGACACCTTGGTACATCTCCTGTAACTCTTTGATGAACATTGACAGATATTTCATTTCCAAAAATTGTATTCTGCTTTACCGTAAACTTACATTTATTTCCAAATTCAGCTCTATTTTTGTTCTTTTTAAGAATTCCAACAAGTAGACAGTCAGCTGTCATTTCTGGGTTTTTTGACTCATCATCAACATAAAAACTGTTCAGAATGTTAATTTACCCCCTTTAAATGAGAAGAAACTTCCCTTTGCTTTTCTAGGACCAGTATTCCCCTTTCTATTATTTCTCTGCCTTGCACATCACTCAATGTAGGAATACTACATTATATATCTCTACTTATTCCGTTCACACATTTTTGTGCATTTTAGGGGTAATCATCAAATAAGTCACTTCTCTCCTTCAGTGTTGTAGTTCATTCCTACATATAAGTTTTTCTTTGTCTTTTTTCTTTGTGCCTTTCATTTCCGATTATTGTAGATATTATAGAGGTACTTCTAATCTTAGAGGTGTTCAAAGTGTGTACAATGCATTTTTGTATTGGTCAATACTATTCTCTATTTAACCATTTCCCATCTACAACTCAGATAAGCAATTTTCCTTCTTATCTGTGTATTCAGTGTATTTGAATACATTTTCTAAAAGAAGAGTTGGTAAAAATCATGATGAACCTAAAAATACATGAGGAACATACTTTACTTAATGCTGAAGTTTTGTATAGAATTCTTTAAAAAACCCACCACTTTCCTGATGTTATTTTTCCGTATTCCCTCATTTTGTCACCACAGCTTAGCTGAAAAACATTTTTTTTTCTTGTTCAGGCATCTTTTCTTTCAGTTAATTTCCTTCCCAAGTGCCTTGTTTTTGCTTTGCTTTTCTCTTTCATGCCATAGCAGCTGCCGAATGTTCTCAAGATATTATCTAACTTTAGACAATCCTATTTTGATGATTAACAAAATATAGCCATCTCTTACTTTTGGGATAAAAGGCAGGTCAGCTTTACATTTCAAACAGATCTCTCTGATGTAGCTGCAAGTACTTAACTGAAATAAGAATTGCAGTATCCATCTTCATCTAATTCTGATATATAGAGCGATATCTTTTCACATAATTCATCACAGTCATGTGGAACTCAGTGCCACAGAAAGTCATTGAGGCTAAGGCTTTATCAAAATTCAAATTTACATGGATAATAAGAATATTAGCATTTTAATAGTGCAGAAATGTTGGAAGGGACAAGCAATCTCAAATTTCAAATCTTAAAAATGTTTGAAATCAGTTAAATAGTTATGAATTTACACTGGTATAATAGTAGACTCGAAGTCTCTGGGTCTAACATTTAGAGCAACTTTTTGTCCTCCCCTCACTTTTTATATTTCTCTCTATTTCTGCTTTGTCATTGTTATTTACAATCAAAGTTTGCTTCAACAACCTATTGGTTTAAAATTGTTCCTAAATTTATCTTTATTGTTGTGTTTAGGGACCACAGGGTAAGCCTGGCCTTCCTGGACTTTCTGGTGCTGATGGGCCTCCTGTAAGTAGTAGAATGTCACCTTTGAATGTCTACATGTTGTTAGGAAATATAGTATATTTTGAAGGGGGTAATCAGATACATGTTTTCACCTTTTAATGCACTCAGGTGAACAGCTGATATTCACATGAATAAAATTCTTAACATTATTGTTCAAAAGCAGATCCTAATTTTAAAATGGACATTCCCAATAAATAGAAAAAAACATTTGCCTCAGAATTCCATCCTTATGCTTCCACCAAAGGCCATTTAACTTCTTATACTGTCCTTTCTCAGCCATGCTCCACTGATAAACATATTTCCCTCTCTCTTATAAACTGAAGTCCTTTGCAATTTAATCAAACAAAACTCTCAATAGCGTCACCGATTTTGTTTGGTTAAGAACCAAAGAATTTATCCCAAAAGATGTTACTGCACAGATAAGCGTATTACAGATACATAATTATATCTTAGGCTCTAACAATCTTTCTTTCATGTGCAGATGGTTAGGGCCCCTCTAGATGCTCAGGTAAAGGCCTGATAGGATCTAATGTGTGATCCAGACAATCACATCTCCTGCCATGCCACAGGAGCATAGCAAGAGGTGTGACTGTGGGATCTAGCATCAAATCCTATCACACCTTATTGCCAGTCATGATCCTGGGCTTCCCCTGCACCAGCTCCAAACCCCGCAGATGAAGAGACTTCTAGCTACAGCAGCACCTCACGGGCTTCTGCGGATAGGAGTCTTGTTAGCTGATGAGACTCAGAGCCACCACAGCCCACGGGATGATGCTGTGGCTGGAAGTTCCCTCAACTGTGGGACTCCCGGCTGCTGCAGCACATGGTGCACCACTACAATTGGGAGCCTTGTCAGCTGATGGGGCTCCCAGCTGTGGGGTGTTGCTTTCCTACACATACACATTGAAGCTGATTAGAAACCAACTATAAAGTTAGTATGCATTTTCCAGCTCTGACTTTATAGCTGAATGCACCTTGTTATGACATTATAGTAAATTTGCATGTGCAGCCTGTCTAAATTCACTGTGCAATTAATCATGTAATTGCATAATGTGTGTAACGTGTAGAGGGGTCTGTCAGGAACATACGTGATCTCGATGTGATCTCTTGCTTTCTCTCTGGTAAACCCACATCCACAAAATTAGCATGAAATAGGAATATGGCCATATGAACAGCAAGGTTCCTGAGCTCTGAAATCCTTGCTGCCACAGGAGAATGGGTCAATCCAGAGGCTGCATGGAGCACAGGCTATTTTGTAGTAGGAACTGGGAGATAATTGGCAAGATGATATTTTTCCTATGGCTGTCTGTGGCATCTGCTGCTTTTCAGCAGCTGCCAACTGCCTATTGACAGCTTGTCCTCTTCCCAGGCAGGGCAGAGGGCAGGCTGTCAAATAATAGGCTCTCTCAAAGGCAGATGTGACCCAAGAAGAAGCCCTCTAGTGCCCCTTCCTACCTAGCTCACCTTTGCAGCTCTCTATCTAGGGGCCTGGAACACATGCACGGTCCAACTCCTGGGCTGTTCTTGTGTCAGGAATTTCACAGACATTTTTACTGCTCAAAATGAATGCCTGGCCATGGCCTGTGTATTCTCTTACTTGTCAGCATAAACTTTCATTTTATTTGGAGGGATAAACAGTGTTAAAATTTACATATTATCTCAAAGTTAACTGGAAACCAGAGATGGGGCAGGACAGGCAGGATAAATTGAAGTCCCTGCTCAGTATCAAGTTAGCATTTTAGAATTATAGGGAATGTCCACACATGCAGAGGTGTGTGCTTGCAGTGGCAAAACATTTTTGCCACTGTGCATACCCCTGCACATGAATTTTGGTGTGGGGCAAATTGCCATGCTTCAGAGAAACTGTCCTTTCCCTGCTTGTCCCAACTCCTGGCTGGAGGAGCTAGGGGACAGTTAAAGGAGTGGAGACACTATAGCCAGCAGCCAGAGCATTTCTTGGGAAGACCAAGCCTCTGTGTCTGCCAGCTTCTCTCACATGTGCTATGCTGAGATTTTTTGTGCCTTTTTAATTTTTTTTTTTTGCCACCAGGATTTCCCAGTAGCAAAATTTTCCCCTGTGCTGCAAATCTGTAGTGTGGGACACGTTTTAACATTCCAGGTGTGCAGGTTTTTTTGGTTCCACGAAAAAGTTTGCGGAGCCACAAACCACACATGCCTTCATGTCTGGATGCGACCATACTGACTATTAAAGTCAATGAACAGTCTCTTTCAGCAGACTTTATGTCCCTCCCAAAGACCCAAATGAATCTCAGACTAAAGTTCATGGGTATTTCAGTGAATCAGACAATTTCCACCATCTTTTATTTGTCTACATAAAATTTCATTTTATTTGGAAGGATAACCAGTGTTAAAAATACATGTTACCCCTGAGTTAACTGGAAACCAGAGAGACAAGTATGATATATAATCATTTTATATCATGATGCCTTGTAATACAGGATAGAAAGTTATAACCTTGTGCATTGAAAAGTATCTGCTTAAAGACTAGTTTTCTGATTTTTCAGATCAAGGTGGGTTTGTTTCAGA